CATTGGCCCCCTCCAGCCCGCATCCTCCCCCCTCCAGCCCGCATCGTCCCCCCTCCTCCCGGCCTTCACCACCCCGGAGTGTCCCCCCCACTCTCCCGGTTTGTCTGTCGTCGTTAGGTAATGGAGTCGAGTCTCATTTTGCCTCGTTTCACTGATCGAGTCAGCCGTGAATTCTGATCCGCCGCTCTCCTGTCCAGCGAGGGAATAAAAGCGAGCGCGTTACGGGATTGACGGCTGGAGAGAATCGGCGCGTCTGCTGATCTGTCAGTTTCTGAGGCTCAGGTTGCTGCGAGAGAGATTGAGTGCTCTGATACCGCCAGGGAGAGGGGGTCCCTCTTTGGGGAGAATCGGAGGCTCTAAAGACAGATCCGTTTCCCCCCCAGCCTGGGAGAAAGCCGCCCTGCGCTCCCACCCGCACGGGAGTGCCCGGGATAGGGTTACAGCCGGAACTCTTCAATCGCTATTAACATTCCTCGCGGCCTTTGTATATTTAACAGATGTTTTCTTTGCAAGATAGTCGAAATGTAGAAATGACTTTAATTGCGCGGGCAGAGTCACTTTTATGGAAACCAAACAGTTTTCTGTTTATATGCATATATCACAGTGCCCACTGGGACGCTGGCCTTCCCCGGCCTTCGTTTGATTTGTTTTCTTACTGCAGCCTTTCATATTTCATATTTTTATGATGGTTTAAATCACAACAAAAAGGGAACGTTAGGAGCCAGCGACAGAAAGCTTTTAAAAGTCTGTGGCCTTTTTTCCTCCCGACTGGGAAGATAACGCTCGTTAATCTGTGGCGGGGGCAGGAGGAAGGCTTTCCAGTCCAGTTACAGTTTGGAGTAGATGCTTGAGTAGTTAATTCCGTTCATTTTGGAAACTTGGCGGACCCCACGTGGCTATGCCTTACATAATTTCTCAGGGTTGCTGCCTTTTCTTCCGTGGTATTTCGGGGTTCCTGGGTTTGGGGCCGTTTGTACAACCACATTTGCTGCTGCTGCTTCTTTTTTAAAAAATATATTTTTATTGATTTCTGAGATGAAGGAGAGGGAGAGAGAGATAGAAACGTCAGTGATGAGAAAGAATCATGGACCGGCTGCCTCCTGCACGCCCCACACTAGGGATCGAGCCTGCAACCCGGGCACGTGCCCTGACCGGGAATGGAACCGTGACCTCCTGATTCATAGGTTGACTCTCAACCACTGAGCCAAACCGGCCGGGGTCACACAGTTACTTCTTCTTTTGCTCATTTGCTCAAGGGCCCCGTCCCGCAGGCTTCCTGGGGGCTGAACGCTCAGCTTCTACCGTTTTCGTCTTCCTGGGAGTCAGCATGTCTGACGCTCCGTGATGAGTAACCGCACTGCTTCCCCTTTCAGCTGAGCTTCCAGCACAAGATCGGGATCCTGTACTGCAGGGCCGGCCAGGGCACGGAGGAGGAGATGTACAACAACGAGACGGCCGGCCCGGCCTTCGAGGAATTCCTCGACCTGCTGGGCCAGCGCGTGCGGCTCAAAGGGTTCAGCAAGTACCGGGCTCAGCTGGACAATAAAAGTAAGCTTCGTGACGGCGTGTGTCTCATTCTCCCAGGGGGGCCGCCCCGGAAACCTACGCCAGCGGTCACGTGCCCTCCGGCCTGAACCCCAGGAGCTGCCGGGCCAGCTGGTTTGGGGTCAAGTGTAGATTTCCTCCGACGTGCGTGGGACGCACCTTTCTCCGGGTGTATGTTTCTCACGCGCTCGGGGGCCAGCTCTTCCTCTGTCACGCCAGCAGGGAGAACCTTTTCCTATTTTCTTCTTCCTTTTAACCGACTCCCTGCTCTGGCTCACCAAGGATGAGCGCTCCGCTCGTTTCTGACAGTCGACATATGAACACGGTCCCGTTGTGGTTTCACGATGTTAACTCGGGAGTCAGAGCTGCCATGGAAAAGCCGATGATCCTGTTCAGGGACCTTCATCAGGCGCCTCGGGTGCCGGGTGGACGGGCCGATTGAAAACTCGGGTTTCTGTCCACTAATGTGCGATTTGTCTCGAATCCTCAGTTAGATCAGCGGTTCTCAACCTGTGGGTCGCAACCCCTTCGGGGGTCGAACGACCCTTTCACAGGGGTCGCCTAAGACCATCGGAAAACACATCTATAATTACATATTGTTTTTGTGATTAATCACTATGCTTTAATGATGTTCAATTTGTAACAATGGAAATACATCCTGCATATCAGATATTTACATGATGATTCATAACAGTAGCAACATTACAGTGATGAAGTAGCAACGAAAATAATTTGATGGTTGGGGGTCACCACAACATGAGGAACTGTATTAAAGGGTCGCGGCATGAGGAAGGTTGAGAACCACTGAGTTAGGTCATCCGATGTAGAATATTCTAGATATTCCAGCCTCGTGCTTGTGCTGCTGTTGGGTTGCTGTGCAGCTACCATACCAGGCAGAGGAATTGGGTATATTCTGGAAAATTCTGCTTCTTACCAAGCAGTGGATTGCTTGTCCTTTTCATGAGAGAGGAGCAAGTAGAGTCTGAAGGGCAGGGTCTGGGAAGGCGGCCAGCCCGCTCCCTAGGGATGAGTGGGGGCGGCAGCGTGCAGCAAGCTGGCACTGGGACTCAGGTGGCCTGTGGCCTCTAGCTCCCTGCCCCCAGCATCCATTCACCGGGACTCGCCTACTTCAGGGTGGTGCCAGGTCTTAGTACCCGTCACCAGGTCTGGGTTTGAAGGTCACGGAGAGGACAGATCACAGGACCTGGAGCCGTGTTAGCTCACGTGTGGGCCCCTGTGTGACCTCCCCACTCGCCGGAGTAGGAGTTGGGCTGTTATGTTGAATGCATGTTGCTTGCGCCTCAGATACATAAAGATAAGGAAATCATTTAGACCCCCACTGTGCATATCCACGTTTTAATGAAGTTCAGTGAGGCCTTTTCTGATTTTCTTTCTTTCTTTCTTGGCAAACTCCTCTTACCCACAAACCACCACCCACGCCTTGAGGCGCTGGCCTGCCGCCTTGAGATGTCCTTGGTTTTCCCGGGTTCTAGCTAAGAATTGGCTGGAAACACGCACACGCTCACAGGATGGGCAAGAATGACTGCTCCTCGGGGCAGAAGCACCTCACCCCTGCAGGGGGGTCCCCTGAGTCAGGTGGCGAGAGTGCAGACGGGGAGCCGAGGGCTCAGAGGCACGTGGTGAGAGCAGGGGGGGCTGCAGACCTGGTGGGAGAGCAGCAGACACAGGAGGTGCGAGAGGGCGGGGGACCATCAAGACGCCGTTGGGCGTAGTTGAGTGGTTTGTTTCTCCAGTGGAATCGCCTTCTGTCAGCATGACGTCCGCAGTGTCCGAGCGCTCACTTTCCAGTTGCCTGACTTGTTTCTGTAATTGTCTGTCTCTAGCCGACTCTACGGGGACGCACTCCCTCTACACCACGTACAAAGACTACGAGCTCATGTTCCACGTGTCCACCATGCTGCCGCACATGCCCAAGAACAGACAGCAGGTACGTGCCCCCTTCGCCGCTCACACCGCAGCCAGCCCAGCCCAGGGGGGCGGTTCACGCCGTGGAATCTGCAGAGAATTATTGGGTTTTTCTTGAAAGGCATTCAGAATCGTTGACTCTTGAATCATTTGGGCTTTAAAGGGATTATTATCGCAGATGTTTTGTTTGTTTTTAATATATTTTTGTTGATTTCAGAGAGGAAGGGAGAGGGAGAGAGAGAGAATCATCAGTGATGAGAGAGGATCATGGATCGGCTGCCTCCTGCACGCCCCACACTGGGGATCGAGCCTGTAACTCGGGCCTGTGCCCTGACCGGGAATCGCACCATGGCCTCCTGGTTCATAGGTCGACGCTCAACCACTGAGCCACACCAGCCGGGCTAGGTGGTTTATTTGCATAAAGAGGATTCGCTGGATGGGAAGACGCTGACTCAGATCAGCGCACTGTCCCAGATGCCGCTGAATCACTTAGTGATAAACAGGGTGAGTGGTCGCTCCGATGGGGCTTCCTCAGGCCACGGCCATCAGTCCACACGTCAGTGCCTCATGCAGGGAGCCAGTGCCTTTGAGCCCGGCCGGCCGCGTTCAGCCACCGAACCCTCCAGCTCTCTACTTGCTGGGGTCCTCGGGCTCTAAACTGGATCAGCCCATCACTCTCATTGGGCCGCCTCTGCGTGTGAAGTCTGCTTGGCTTGACTGTTCCCGGAACTCATCCCCGGCCCCCCGCCCCCTGTGCCCGGTGTTGTACAGCCATTCACACCTGCGGTTTATGAGTTCCCGGGACCTGCCCCTCTTTTTTCCTTTTTTTTCGGTGAAACTATCCTTAAAAAGTCCTACACATAGAAAATGTGTATAGAGGGATGGGGGATGGGAGATGGTGGGGTGGATGGGTGTTTTAAACTTCCCAGACTGGAGATTTAAAATAAATAAATAGAATAAAAATAGATGTATGTATCCCTGTGTGTTAGACAATACATTACCAATTCCATAGCCTAAAGAGCTGTTTGGTTACCTTTTTTTAAAACTTGAGTGAGAATCTGTGACACGGGATAACTTATGCTGATGAACTAGAGGTAGGAAACTGTCAAAACTGCTTTGTTTTTTTCATTGCTCTTCCCGCACATGGAATATGTATGATCCTGTATGTGGATCCCTGGACATCTATAGTAGTCCCCCCTTATCCGAGGGGGGTACATTCCAAGACCCCCAGTGGATGCCTGAAACCACAGATAGTACCAAACCCTATGTATGCTACTTTTTTTCCCTCCACATACATACCTATGATAAAGCTTAAGTTATAAATTCAGGGCAGTAAGAGACGAACAACAATGCCTAGTAATGAAATAGCCCGGTTATAACCATCCGCTGTGATGGAAGGTATGTGACTATGGCCCCTCAGAGCTGTGCTGTATGCATCGCGTGCAGATGCCGGACAAAGACACGATTTACATCTCGGGGGACAGAACGGGACAGCGGGAGATTTCATCACGCTACCCAGAACAGGGCGCATTGATAACTTATGAATTGTTTATTTCTGGAATTTTCCATTTAGTATTTTCAGACTGTGGTTGACTGCGGGTGACGGAAGCCATGGAAAGCAGACTTTGGATCAGGGGGACCACTGTGTACTCTACACCCCGGGGGCAAACCCGCATAAGGCGGAGGGCATGAGCGAGGCGTGGGCGGTGGCGAGAGCTGGTGATTATTAGGGGATGAGGACATGGTCTGGGTTTCCAGCCCTGGAGTGCTGGGTTGGGAAGGATTGGAGGGTAGCCCCAGGCTCGGAGGGGAAGAAGGCTGTGTCTCTGAGATCCCCCCCACCCCCGGGTTTGGAATCGCAGTGTGGGGCCTGTGAGCCTGTGTGGACGAGATGGTACATAGCCCCTTAGCGTCAGGATTCTGTGACTTTCGGTTCCTCTTTGTGGCTTCCTTCTCCGCTAAGAAAAGGCTCCTGCAGAAGAATGGAGTTGTTAAGAGCAAGAACTCCGGAGCCAGACTTCCTGGGTAGGAGTTCAGGCTACTAGCTCATGACCTTGGGCCAGCTTTTCCAGGCTTTTGTTTCCTCCCCACCCTCTCTCCCCCAAGACAGATGTTTATCTCTTTTTATGTTTTGTTAATCCTTACCCTGAGGATATCTTTCCATTGGTTTTTAGTGAGAGTGGAAGAGAGAGGGAAAGACAGAGACCCATGGATGGGAGAGAAACACAGTGATTGGTTGCCTTCTGCATGAGCCCCTACCAGGGCCCCTGCTGGGGAGGAGCCTGCAACCGAGGTTCATGCCCTTGACCAGAATCGAACCTGGGACCCTTTAGTCCACAGGCCGATGCTCTGTCCACTGAGCCAAACCGGCTGGGGCTCTTTTTTTCACTGAAGGGTCCCTAAGCACCTAGAATGGTACCCAAACCATTGTAAGGGGTCTCTAGACATCTGTTCATCATGAAACCTTCCTCAGTGATAATTAGAATTAGGTGAGTTAATACATATAAGCACGTGAAGTGTGCCTGGTGCAGTGTGCTCGGCAAGTTGTAGTAGTAACTTATTTTATAATAGACTAGATACAAGGCCTGGTATTTAAATGACTTAATTTGCATTTTATTTTCCTGTTCCCAACCCCAACGATGTTATGAAAAACCAAGGCCTGAATAGTTAAGAAAGTAAGGGGCTCTTTTATTAATAATTTTGTAAAATTACTTTTGCTTTGACATTGAATATTTTGACAATCATGAATCGTCATCAGAATATTCTGGCCCAGCCGGGTGTGGCTCAGCGGTTGAGCGTCAACCCAGGAACCAAGAGGTCGCTGGTTCAGTTCCCAGTCAGGGCATATACCCAGGTTTCGGGCTCGATCCCCAGTGAGCGCATGCAGGAGGCAGCCGATTGATGATTCTCTCTCATTGTTAATGTTTCTCTCTCTCTCCCACTCTCCCTTCCTCTCTGACATCAATAAAAACATATTTTTTTTAAAAAAAGAATATCCTGTTCGTAGGTAAATGATGCCATGTCCAATCATGGAACACGTGCTTCCCTAATTTATCAAGGATTCTGCTGACTCTTCCCATATCCCTCACCCACCCCTCCCGTGCCCACACATTGCGTGAATCCCAAGGGCATCCGTGTCTGAAATGAGCAGCTGGGCTGGTGCCTGCATTTGGAGGCCCCCGGACTTGGCCCGGTCAACTGGCCTCCACATGAGCTGTGCCCGTGACTCCGGTCTCATTAGCACCATGGCATCTGTGACTGCGTAACTGGTCCAGACTCGTCCACATCAGACAGAATTCCCTATGTTTGTTCTTGTAATAAACCAAGCTGAGAGCTGCTTCTGAGACGCAGTAAAAGTCTTTAGAGAACTCACCACAGCAAACGAGGTCAGTGTTTGGAATGTCTGACGCCCACGAAGAAAAGCTGGCCAGGCCGGGGCGTGCTAAGGGGCCCTCCTTGGGGCGCTGCCCTCCTCCTGGGTCCTGGGGTCTCGGGGCCTGGTTGGCGGTCAGGCCCTTTCACAGGCCCTTCTCCCCGGGGTGTTTCCCTTCTGCTGGTCCCGCGGACAGATCTCAGCGGAGCAGTCAGGGTGTCATCCGTGGAAAGAGCCCCACAAATTGGCTCTAAGCTTCACTTCGGCAGGGAAACCTCTCCCTCAAACTAAGTGTCTAAAACGGATGCAGGACGCGTGGGGCCTGGCACGGGTAACCTCTTTTAAAAAATCTTTTAAAATATGTTTTTATTGATTTTTAGAGAGAGGAAGGGAGAGGGGTAGAGGGATGGAAACATCCATGATGATGAGAGAATCATCGATCGGCTGCCTCCTGCACACTCCACACTGGGGATGGAGCCCGAAACCCAGGCATGTGCCCTGACCCGGAATCGAACCCTAACCTCTCAGTTCCTGGGTCGACACTCAACCACTGAGCCACACCGGCCGGGCCTGAGTGGTTCTCTTGGCACTGAAGAGCGTCACGTAGAGAAGGGAGACGTTAGCCCTAGTGGGTGTCACTTCCTGTTCCTGACTCCCGAGCAAACAGTGCCTGGCGCTCAGGGCCTGCCCCCCGGGTTTGCTGGGCCGCGTTTGTTTATGGGGGACACACCTTTCCCCTTCCCCTTCCAGACTCTGATTATCCGGAATATCACTGATCAGTTAAAAAAACCAGCACCGATCACAAGGGAAGCCATTTACCTTTTGTAAGAAGTCCAAGAAATTCCTTCTCCAGTGTCTGATAAGGTCTAGCCAGTAGCGAGGAATGTTTTGCTTAACTTTCCAGATGTTATATTGCTTGAGTCTCTAATCAAATTCAAGCTTCCTGTTAATGGACAGGGAGTTAATTTTTCTGACTTTATTCTCCTACAAAGAGTTTTAGATTTTATTCTTCCTAATGACTCTCCTTGACTCCCCCCCACATACCCCCACCCCTGCCCCCCATACACACACACTTGACTTTTTCTACAAAGTGCATTTTGTGACCATGGTTAAAAACTGACTTGACTTTTAAAAACATGTTGGGCCCACTTTACAAAGCCAAAGAATGTGCTTAGAAAGGGACAGGGCCATTTGACTATTGTTAAGGTAACTAGCCTTAAAGTTTCCCTTAGCCTCTGCTTTATTTTTTTTTTAAATATATGTTTATTGATTTCCGAGAGGAAGGGAGAGAGAGAGAAACATCAATGATGAGAGAGCATCATGGATCGGCTGCCTCCTGCACACCCCACACTGGGGACCAAGCCTGCAACCTGGGCATGTGCCCTTGGCAGGATTTGAACCCGGGACCCTTCAGTCTGCACAGGCCGACGCTCTATCCACTGAGCCAAACCGGCCAGGGCTCAGCTTTTCTATGGAAGTTTGTTTTAGGTACCTACCTTTTGCTTCCATTTTCTTCTCTCTGCGCGAACTGTTTTTTGTGGTTACCGTCTGTGCCCACTGTCGTATGGCTAGAGGGCGGCACAGTGGCCATGACCCAGTTTGTCACTGACTTTTTACCTGCATCCGAAGTGACGCATTTTCCTTCAGTATCTAGCCAACATTTAAAAAAAAAAAATACAGGTGACTCGTTGGGTTTGTATGAATATAGGTTCATATATGTCTCGACACTTCACTGACGGTGAGATGGCTTTCATGGGTTTGTAACTTCACCGCGGGGACTTCAATCGGAATTTTCCCAGGTGTGACTCAGCCTGGCGAAGGGGAACACCTCCTCCCACCGTCCCAGGCCTCCATTGTGTGAAATCTCAAGTCAGGGGCCCGGCGGTGAGAGCTTTGTGTGTCTGGGTTTAAAGGTTTTACAAGTTGAACTGAGTGCTCTTCACAGTGAGTGATGTCTGCTCTGTGGGTGCCAAAGAAATAAATGGAAGAGTAAGCTCGGTGCTTTGTTTTTGCTAATAAAGAGCTTTACTACCTGAGATCCTCCGGGCCCCGAGCTGACATCATCACCTTGGGAAGGCTCACTGGGTCTGTTAAAACTGCAGATCACACCCGGTGAGCACACAGTCAGGGGCGCTCCTTGCCTGAACTATCGAGGTCCCGTGCATGGCTCTGTGAGCGAGGTGGTCACAGTGTCACAGCCCAGTGTTAGGGCCGTGCTTATGTATTTTTTTAAATATATATTTTTTATTGATTTTAGAGTGGATGGGAGAGGGGGAGAGAGAGAGAGAAACATCAGTGATGAGAGAGAATCATGAATCGGCTGCTTCCTGCACGCCCCCTACTGGGGATCGAGCCCACAACTCGGGCATGTGCCCCGACTGAGTATCGAACCGTGACCTCCTGGTTCATAGGTTGATGCTCAACCACTGACACACACCAGCCGGGCTAGTCCTCTCCTTTGTGCATTCATTTAGCAATGTGCAGTGGGAGTCTGCTGGGACTGGGCAGGCCATTAGGAACGGGGAAATCGGAAGGCCCTGAGACGCCCCCCGGCCTCACGGGATCCTTACCTGATGTAGAAGTCCGCCAGCTCCTAGTGTGTTCTGAGACAGGCCCGGGTGTGTGCGGGGAGGCCGGCCTGGGCTTGCAGAGGCCGGTTCTTGTAGAGGAGCTGATAGCTAAGCAGAGACCTGAGCTGTCGGGGAGAAACTTGGGGTGGGAAGTAAAGGTGTTCCATGTTGAAATGTTGGCGTTCTTCCTCTCCTGCTACATCTGTACTTTTTAAGATTCCATACTATTGGGTTTCCAGCTGTTAATGTGGTGGAATTGTGTGTTTCTGAAACAGACTTAAAACACCAAATTAAAGTTGGCTACTTTGACTATATTAGCGCCACAGTAGCAGGGTGGTGCACTTCTGTTGCAGAAACTTACCTTACTGTGGGAGCAGGCGAGCGAGGCCACAGTGAGGATTCTGTCTCCTCCTCTGAATTAAAGAGCTGAACCCATGGAATTCCTTAAAGCATATTGATCTCTCACGTGTATTGTTTTAGGGTAAAAAAGATAAAAGGAGCCCGGCCGGCGTGGCTCAGCGGTTAGCGGCAACCTGTGAACTAGGAAGTCAGGGTTCGATTCCCAGTCAGAGCACATGCCCAGATTGTGAGCTCGAGCCCCAGTGTGGGGCGTGCAGGAGGCACCCGATCAATGATTCTCTCTCATTACTGATGTTTTTCTCTCTCTCCCTCTTCTTACTTCTCTGACATCAATAAAAGGTAAAAGGAGAGAGCATGCAAGCTGAAGGAGCAGGACATAGCGTGGGATTTCTTCTCCCAGGTCCTGTCCTGTGGCCCGGGCAGGAACTGGCTTCCCCAGAGGACCCTGCTTCTCAATGACTTCCCTTTGCTGAAAGACGGGCTCATTGTGCCACTGACAAAGTCTGTTTGTACAGAAAGCCTCGTGTGTAACTGCGTGTGTGTGTGTGTGTTCTCTGTCCCGCCCGCAGCTCCTGAGGAAAAGGCATATAGGAAATGACATCGTGACCATTGTCTTCCAAGAGCCCGGAGCACTTCCTTTCACTCCAAAGAGCATCCGGTCCCACTTTCAACACGTCTTCGTCATCGTCAGGGTGCACAACCCGTGCACCGAGAATGTGTGCTACAGGTGAGCTGGTTCCCCGACGGCTCCCGCCCCGGCTCACTTCCACAGCGTCTCCCCCGGATCGTTTTATTTCCCCATTACTATTTTTAACCCCATAATTATCCCTGTTGTCTAATTATATTCCCCAGTGTCTTCACGCGGGCACTTTCTTCTGTAAGAAATAATTACCTTCCCATTTTTGAAGAAAATGAAATGCCTAGCAGATCAGAATCATACATGATACATTCCCTTGATTTTTTTTTCCCCTCCTAAAAACTTCCTCCAGCACCATAACGTAACTGCTCCCAGCCTGGGGGCGGGGGGAAAAAAAAGTGACCCGGTCAGTGCTTCTTGAGGAGGAGAAATTATCACAGAGGCAAAACTCTGCTTGTCAGCCGGCTCCTGGGAACACGCGCTCCCGCAGGCTGGAACCTGGAGCTGCCCTGGCCCGGGTGACTTCCCTCAGCCGTCCACGGGTCTCAGAATTCCCAGCTGTTTCCAGCCAGGCCTGCTTTTCTTCTTACTTCCTAAGTAAGGGGCAGTTCTTTTAAAATATATATTTTTATTGATTTCAGAGAAGAAGGGGGAGAGAGAGAAACATCAATGATGAGAGAGAATCATGGATCAGCTGCCTCCTGCACGCCCCACACTGGGGATCGAGCCCGCAACCCGGGCATGTGCCCTGACCGGGAATCGAACCAGGACCTCATGGTTCATAGGGCAACACTTAACCACTGAGCCACGCCGGCCGGGCTGGGCAACTCTTTCCTAAGAAACAGCTGATCTTCCGTGGGGTTCTGGGAAAAGAGTGGGCCTTTGACCTGAGGTTGAGGTGCTTGGTATGAATTATTTATTTCTCAGAGCCTTTGCTTCCTTCTCTTAAACGTGGGATTAATCATATTTACTTCAGGACATATGTGTACCTCTGAAGGATAAAGAGCAACTGTCCGAGGCCTGGCACCCCTCAAAGGCTCTGCCCTTAATCATCTGAACACAGTTGCTGCCAGTTCACTGCTGACGGGCCAAGGCAGGACGCAGTGTGGGTGGAGCCTGGGGGGCCTGTGAAGACTCCTGAAGGCTGAGAAACCCATCTGTGCATTAGGTGTTGCCAGTTGACATCCCCAGCCCATGCCCACGCTCACAGTCAGCTTGTTAGAGCCGGCGATTCTCTGGTCCTACTGTGCGGTGTGCTAGCTCGGCATGCCCGCCACCTGCTGGTCTTCCTCCCACGGCGATTTTTATACAGATCCGAGCGAAACACCGCTGGCCTAATGCTCAGATCCACTCACTAATGCTAAAAAAAAAAGAAAAAGGAAAAGGAAGAAGTGTAGTATCTGCTCTGTATAAACTTTCTACTTGACTAGACAGTGTTGGTGCAAACATGGTAAATTGCTGATTCTTCCGCGATCTCGCCCTAAGAATGGTAATTATGAAAAATAATCTTAAGTGAACCATCCATTAGGATTGGAAACTTCAGCCGAGGGCTGTGCTGTATTTGGTTTGATTTTTATTGGCTGCCGTTTTTTAGGTCAAACAAGTCTTTTCAGTTTCTTTCTATCTTTAGTTTATTGCTTCTATCATGAGGGGGCTCATTAGCACAAAAAACCCTAAACAGACGTAATACCTATTTTTTTCCAGGATTTTTATTTTAATTAAATCACCCGGGAGGAATTTTTGGGATATAAATATAGATCTTATAAGCAGAGTGGACTGCATTATGCTTTCTGTGACAGAGGAAGGGTGTGCAAACCACTTAAATAAAAACATATCCAGCCCGGCCAGGGATGCTCAGTGGTTAAGCGTCAACCTATGAACCAGGAGGTCACAGTTCAATTCCCAGTCAGGGCACATGCCCGGGTTGGGAGCTCAATCCCCAGTGGGGGGCACGCAGGAGGCAGCTTATCCATGAGTCTCTCTTATCATGGATGTTTCTATCTCTCTCCCTTCCTCTCGGACATCAATAAAAATATATATATTAAAAAAAACTTATCCAGAAATGAGGAAGACAGGAAGCTACAAATAGCTGGCTCAGCTGAAAGGGTGTCTGTGCCAGGTTCCTGAAGGGAGGGGTTTCGGCATCACCGCTCATCTTGCTTCTCTTTCCTCCCCAGCGTTGGCGTTTCTAGATCAAAAGACGTGCCCCCGTTCGGCCCCCCCATCCCCAAAGGCGTCACTTTCCCCAAGTCCGCCGTGTTCCGGGACTTCCTTTTAGCCAAAGTCATCAACGCGGAGAACGCGGCCCACAAATCGGAGAAGTTCCGCGCCATGGCCACCCGGACGCGGCAGGAGTACCTGAAGGACCTGGCGGAGAACTTCGTCACCACGGCCACCGTGGACACCTCGGCCAAGTTCAGCTTCATCACGCTGGGTGCCAAGAAGAAGGAGAAGGTCAAGCCGCGGAAGGACGCCCACCTGTTCAGCGTGGGGGCCATCATGTGGCACGTGGTGGCCCGGGACTTCGGCCAGGCCGCCGACATCGAGTGTCTGCTGGGCATCTCCAACGAGTTCGTCATGCTGATCGAGAAGGAGTCCAAGAACGTGGTCTTCAACTGCTCCTGCCGGGACGTCATCGGCTGGACGTCGGGGCTCACGAGCATCAAGGTGTTTTACGAGAGAGGCGAGTGCATCCTTCTCTCCTCGGTGGACGGCTGCCCCGAGGACATTCGGGAAATGGTCCAGCGCCTGGGGGTAAGTGCCCCCGGGTTCCGCATTCCCTACGTCCGGAGGCCTTCAGTCCCGATTCCTATTGGCTTCCACTGTGCACAGTCCACTGTGGTTATGGCATCTAGAGAATGAATGGTACCCAGGGAATGAATGGCGCCCAGGGAATGAATGGCGCCCAGGGAATGAATGGCTATGTGATGAAGGAGTCCATGTCAGGATGTGAGGGACTCCAGATCAATGGGGAACAGGATCCTTCCGCCTTTGCGAATGTTGAGAAGCAAGAAATAGCAGATGAACAAAGGTCGGAGGTGACAGGTGGGGCGTGGCAGGTGGCAGGTGCAGGAGGAGACAGCAGCAGACAGAGTGGGGACCCCGAAGAAGCTTGCCCTTCGCCTCCGTCCTCAGGAGGAGGTTAGATTTGAACTAGAAGTTGCGTTCCTATTGGCAAGAAGTCAGGGCCTGCCATTCTCAGGAAGGCCTTTGGGGGTGGCCCTGGCCAGTCCTTGGTGCTGTAGTGCACGGAGTGGGGTGCAACCCTTCTTTCATTTCCTTTCTGTGATGCTGCTGCATACTCTCGGGGTGTCAGAGCCCGAGAGCTGCGGCCTGGGGTTGCCCCTGGCCTCCAAGAGATGGCCCGCTGGAGGAGCGCCACCTCACACCGCCCTGGTGGCAGGTGCCGAGAGCCTGGCTGGCCGGGCACATGAGAGCTGAGGCCTCAGCGCCCAGGCGAGCGAGGGCATCCGTCCACAGGGGAGGGTCCTCGGGCAGGAACAGGTGTCCCCAGGCTGGTGCAGAGCCAGCACCCCCTGCTTCCCTGGCATCTGCCGCTGCTGCTGCCCATCCGGGGGCGCGTCGCTCAGCGTTAGCTTGGAAGTGCTCTGGGCCATTTTGAAGTTGAATGAAGTTGTCTGACAGGCTTTAGTGTTTGACGGGTGAAACGTGTAATCGTTTCGGCCGGCCGGTATGGCTCAGTGGTTGAGCGTTGACCCATGAACCAGGAGGTCACTGGTTCAATTTCTAGTCAGGGCATATGCCAGTGTGGGGCGTGCAAGAGACAGCCGATCGATGATTCTCTCTCCTCATTGATGTTTCTATCTCTCCCTCTCCCTTCCTCTCTGATTCAATAAAAATATATTTAAAAAAGAGTCCTTTTTGCACCAGGACAGTCCATCTGGAGCAATGCAGTTCCTATGCTTAAGAGCCAAATCAGGTGACACAAAAAAGGAGGGGGGATCATCAGAGACCGTCTAAGGTCACAAGCCCTAAGGTCAGGGCTTCTGAGAAAAGGCAGGACACCTGTGACAAGGTGGATTTGCCTTTGAAGAATGAAACCATTGCCCTAGCCGGTGTGGCTCAGTGGATAGAGTGTCAGCCTGCGGACCAAAGGGCCCCGGGTTCGATTCCGGTCAAGGGCACGTACCTTGGTTGCAGGCTCCTCGGGCCCTGGCCCTGGTTGGAGGCAACCAGTCGATGTGTTTCTCTCACCTCGATGTCTCTCTCTGTCTTTCCCTCTCTCTCCCACTCTCCCTAAAAATCAATGGAAAAATATCCTTGGGTGAGGATTAACCAAAACAAAAAAGAAGAATGAAACCATTGCGTAACTCTTGTTATTTTTTTGCGCCTGATGCCCATATGGTTAATGATGCTGAACTTGGATTGAGATGTGTCCCTGTCACGTGGACAGTTCGAGGGCAGGGCTGTGAGGCTGAGGAGGAGCGGGCACGAGGCCTGTGTGTGCACCTCTGACACGGGGACCCCACAGCCGCGTCTCTGACCGTCTCCTATCCCCTCAGATAGTGACCAGAGGCTGCGAGACCGTGGAAATGACCCTGAGGAGGAACGGGCTGGGCCAGCTCGGCTTCCACGTGAACTTCGAAGGCATCGTCGCGGACGTGGAGCCTTTCGGCTTTGCCTGGAAGGCGGGCCTGCGCCAGGGCAGCCGCCTGGTGGAGATCTGCAAGGTGGCCGTGGCCACGCTGACCCACGAGCAGATGATCGACCTGCTGCGCACGTCCATGACCGTGAAGGTGGTCATCATCCAGCCGCACGGCGATGGCTCGCCCCGGAGGTAAGCCCGGCGGGGCCGCTGCTCCTGCGGGTCCTGGGAAAACGCGGGCGCAGGGCTCCCCCACCACGTCTCCTGGCTGTCAGCCATCAGAGCAATTTAAAAAGGGCTCTGACAGCTCTCAGTGTAAAGTACACGATAAAGCGTCATTTTCTAAGCAATTTAACGGGACAGTGACCACGTACAAGCTGAGCTATCGCCGCACGCTGAGCTGCAGAGCGGCCCTGGCTCACCTGGACGTGAGGCTGTGTCACTGCTCAGCCTTCGCGAATGCAGTGTTTGTGCGCTTCCCTTCCCTAACACGGAGCCATGACTGTGTGTTTTCCTTTGTTTTAATATATTTTTATTGATTTTAGAGAGGAAAGGAGAGGGAGAGAGAGATAGAAACATCCATGATGAGAGAGAATCATGGATCAGCTGCCTCCCGCACGCCCCACAGTGGGGATCAAGCCCACAATCCGGGCATGTGCCCTGACCGGGAATCAAACCCTGACCTCCTGGTTCATAGGTGGACACTCAACCACTGAGCCACACCGGCCGGGCAAGGAATGCTATTTAAGGACAAGCTGCCTCTGGCTCTGGTAGGCTTTCTGCCGTGTCTGGTGGTGCCCGGGTCACATTCCCGCTCCGTCCCAGAAGTCCCTGCTCTGGTGGTGAGAGAGAAAGTGGGCTCAGGGATCCGGGCCTGCGCTGTGTGACCCTGGGTGTGAGGCACAGCCTCTCTGGGCCTCGTTCAGTGCCTGGAAGATGGGAGCACCTCCGGGCCTCACCAGCACCCGAGTCTTGTTGAGATCACTAAGATTCTTTCTCCCTGGATTTCTCCTGCTCTAAAGAAATGCTGATCACTCAGCGATCACGAGATGCCACTGCCACTTGTTAAACTTCTATCTGTGGCGCCAGGACTTTGCTTATGGTTTCTCCAGCCCCTGCCGTCCACCCGAGAAGCTAGCACTGTCCCCAACACTCTCCGTGATGCCGTGTCCCTTGTCTGTGTCGCCCACAGCAGTAGCCACGGGCCTCACGTGACTGTTGCACATTTGAAATGTGGCCGGTGTGATGGAGGAGATGACTTTTTCATTGTAATTACTTAAGATTTAATGACCCATGTGGGGAGGAACAGATTTCCCTCTACCCTCAAGGTTCTTCTGGCTGGTCTGATACTCAGACAGACACGAGACAGATGAGCAAGAGAAAATGACTAGATTTAATACACGAATGTGTGGGAACCCCGCGTGCGTGAACGAGTCAGAGAGAGAAGGGGCTTTGAGGTGTGGGAGACATGCTGAGCTGGGGACCAGGTAGTGGCCCTGGGGGTGCAAAGGCCATTGCAGGGTGATACGGACTGGCGTTCAGCTCTGGCCAGTTTTGCTCAGTGGATAGAGCATCAACCTGCAGACCGAAGGGTCCCAGGTTCGATTCCTATCAAGGGCACATTCCCGGGAAGCCAAGATAGTGTATAAGTGAAAGTCTTTTAAAATCAAGTTTAAGCCAGTTATTAGGACATTTTTCCAGACAGTAAGATTTCTTTCTTCCTTTGGTAGAGTTCAAGATCTGTAAATTTTATGGGGAAAATCAAGTCCTTTTATCTGTCCCAGAGGTCGAGTACTACCATAGCATTAGACAAAAATGTTACCCGGATCTCCCTTCAGGTTAAAAACATGTTTCTCCTATGTTGCGCCTTGGCCTACAGTAAGACTTCTTAAAGCATTCAAGAGATCCGGTTAATAAATATGTTAAAGTTATCATTGTGTTTGCTATTTAAAACATACGATTTAAAAAAGTAGAATCTCCTAAGAAGTACTGAATATCGTTAACTAAAACAAATAAACAAAAACTACCATTTACAAGTTTAGGCTGTTTTTGTTGTTGTTGTTTAAGCCAAGGACTTGTTTAACTGCCTTGGTCTGTGCATAATTAATCCTTTCTTTGTGTCAAATGCAAAGTCTCTGATTAAAGCTATTGAGGATATTTAGAGCTTTTCCTTTGTTTCCTGGTAATGTTTCTCCCTGAAGAGACAAATTTTCCTCTGGACGAATCTGGAATAAGTGTTTTCTGTATTTTAACTGTAGCCAGGATGAGAATTAGCCGTTTGCCTAGTAGTAACCCTCCCAAAGTGGCCCGCCTCGCCATCCACATTTCGGCATCTTGAAGGTTTTAAGCCCAGCCTGGACCATTTAAAATTCTTTCGATTCAGTCTTCTTGAATTTGACTTTGTAAATTTTTAAATCCACGTGTTTGTTAGTTTGGGACTCTCTCGCTCTGCCTGTGGCTGCCTGGGAGCCCGAATAAAGCACTGTTGTCAGGCAGCTTCCAGAACAGAAACAAACCATCCTGGCGAGCCGTGTGCAAGGTCATTTCAATGTCACCCGGGCCGGAGTTCAGCCTCTGCGCTGTTAGATTTTTTTTTTTTTTTTTTTAAGAAACTGTAGGGAGGGCCTTAGGGGGAAATGGGCAGCATGTGACTCATTTGAAAAATCAAAATACAGATCTTTTAAAGGAAACGTAGCTTAGCACCATCCGTCCTACAGCAACATGTACAAGCATAGGCTTCAAGCTAAAGCTACACCTTTGACTTGTGGCATGAAAACTAGCCCGTCTTTCTTTACAAATTGGCTCTTGGTGCTTGTCGGGGAGGGGCACGAGGAAAACATGCACTTACGTGTGTGTGTGTGTGTGTGTGTGTGATTTTTTAAAAGTTGTCTGTAATGTAAGAACCACAAGGATGACTAAAATGGCCCCATGAATGGATTGCAAGAGATTTCGTTCTCCATAAACACGGTGACGAGGAAGTGAAAACGCGGCAGTTCATTTCTGCCCTTCACCAGCTTCATGGTTGTCCAGAGGGCATCAGTGAGAGATGACTCGCCTGGGAGCCCATCTGCTCCTGCCGGCAGTGGGCGAGGCCTGTCACTCATAGTGCCCCCCCTTCCCACCCCACCCCCAATCCCGGCTGTCTGAGGTCAGGTGTTTGTTATGACTCAGAAGCTGCCGAATGTAATGAAGTCTCTGGCTGGGAAAGTATTCACCGTGGAGTCAAAAGCTACCCTGCATTTTGCAGGCTCCTTCTTAGGTGTGTGTGTGTGTGTGTGTGTGTGTGTGTGTGTGATTTTTAAAAAGTTGTCTGTAATGTAAGAGCCACAAGGATGACCAAAATGACCCCATGAATGGATTGCAAGAGATTTCGTTCTCCATAAACACGGTGACGAGGAAGTGAAAACGCGGCAGTTCATTTCTGCCCTTCACCAGCTTCATGGTTGTCCAGAGGGCATCAGTGAGAGATGACTCGCCTGGGAGCCCATCTGCTCCTGCCGGCAGTGGGCGAGGCCTGTCACTCATAGTGCCCCCCCTTCCCACCCCACCCCCAATCCCGGCTGTCTGAGGTCAGGTGTTTGTTATGACTCAGAAGCTGCCGAATGTAATGAAGTCTCTGGCTGGGAAAGTATTCACCGTGGAGTCAAAAGCTACCCTGCATTTTGCAGGCTCCTTCTTAGGCCTCGGGGTGATGATCCTTCAGCGCGCCCCTCCTCGGTCCCCCCCCTCAGCTTGAGCTCCAGGGAACCCCGGGCAGGGAGGGTCTCCTTCGGGGGAGCTTATTAAGTGATTTCCTGCTGGGATTGGATCTGAGTGGATTCACACAGATTGGGAATGAGTGGCAGGAAGCGGTTTGGGAATAGCGCTCTTCACATGGACGCGACATTAAAGGGAGGAGGCGCCCCCCCCCAGCAGGCAGTGTCTGGGCCAAGGTGAAGAGTTGCCGAAGCCGCTTCATTAACCTTGGCTTTGGGACGGCTGGTGGGGCCCCGCCCCCGGCCTGCCCAGGGGACTGACATTCTGCCAGTGTCATCTCCAGGAAAGCAAATCCACTCAAAAAGGAGGATAGAAAGGAAGTAACAGCTCATCAGAATCACGCATGAGTTGCTATGCAAGGCGAGTGATTTAGTCACTATGTCCAATAAAAATGGAAATGGAGTTCCTTGCTGGGGTGCATCTGTTTTGTGTGATTTCTCCTCCTCTGTTGACATGACATATTTTTCTATATAATGCAAAACAGTGGAAATTATCTCATGTTGTCCTGCATCCAAATTGTGGTTCTCTCATCATTCTGTGAGAGTGGAGCTTTCTGTACTTGTCGGCTCTTTTGCTGCCTGTGGCCTGGCCATTCAACTCCCTCAAGTGCACAGGGGAGGGTGGGAATCGAAGCAGGAAGGGGAGCTCACTTCTGTTAGATAAGCAGTGAGTGTGTGTGTGTGTGTGTGTGCGCGCACGCACGCGTGCGCACGCAAATGGTAAGTGGAAATCTGGACTAGAGTGAGGGTTTTTTTTATTATTACTACTTTTTAAAATATATTTTTATTAAATTCAGAGAGGAAGGGAGAGATAGAAACATCAATGATGAGAGAGAATCATTGATTGGCTGCCTCCTGCACGCCCCCTCCTGGGGATTGAGCCTGCAACCCAGGCATATGCCCTTGACCAAAATCGAACCCAGGACCCTTCACTCCACAGGCTGACACTCTGTCCACTGAGCCAAACCAGCTAGGGCATGATTACATTTTAATATATCTTTATTGACTTCAGAGAGGAAAGGAGAGGAAGAGAGAGATAGATACATCAATGCTGAGAGAGAATCATGGATCGGCTGCCTCCTGCACACCCCACACTGGGGATTCAGTCCACAACCCAGGCATGTACCCTGACCTGGAATCGAACCACGACCTCCTGGTTCATAGGTTGACGTTCAACCACTGGGCCATGCCAGCCGGGCTGGACTAAAGTGAGGTTTTAGATTAGAGGTCCAATTTATTCGTACGGGGAAGAAAAATTAGTTACATTTAGTGTTGTCTTATGGCCCCTGAAAAAAACAACAAACAAACAGAACTTAGGTTCTCAAAGTAACTGAACTACATTCACTCTTCTGAGTCCCTGCAAAGGAATGTATAGAATGTTCTCTCTCTGCTTGAGGTAAGCGCATTGGGTTACAGAAGGAATGTTAGCTAGCTTGCCTCACATTTACTCACTCATTCACTTGTTCACGCTTTTAAAGAGTTTGTGCCAGAAACTGCTGGGTCTGGGCTTATCCCACTAGACAGGACAGACCTAATCTTGACTCTTACGGGCTCCTGTTTGTCTCCCTAGCGTTCTCCAGTACAGGACTTCCCATTCATGTTTTCGCTGCTTAAAAATTTTTCTCCAACCGTAGCAACAACCAACTGCCCGACAGCGTGTCTCCCCTTGGGCAGAAAGCGCGCTCCGTATCTCCGTGTCCACGCTGTTTTGTAGTGGAGGATGTTGTCCTGTCACTGACCCTGGGACAAGGACGCAGGGGGTGACAGCAAAGCTCGGGCTCTCTGTTAGTTGGGCAAGTAGAACTGTCTCCAGCTTGACAGGTTCCCCACGCCGTGAGGACGGACAGCCAGCGGTGCTCTCCTGGTGGGGATGTCTTCATCATAGCTCAGGCAGCAAACGGCTGTGGAGAAGCCCCTGTGTTAACTCTGAAGGATCGCACGCAATGAAATGTTATTCCTGCTCTCGGGCTTTCTCGGGGAGAAAGGGGCATGGCTGGCTTCGTGGGGAACTTGCTGAGCCTTTGAGTCAAATGCTGTGCTGGGTACCGCCCAGTGGGTAGACCAGTCGGCCCGTGTGCTTGGTGAGGAAGGTGTCATCTGACACCTTCGGTTCAAGTCCTTATTCAAAAGGTTTATGGTCTGATGTCTCTCTTTTTTCTTAACCTCACCAGAGGAGATGGATTGATTTTTAGAGAGGGAGTGAGAGAGTGAAACATCAATGTGAGAAACATCAATCGGTTGCCTCCTGCACACGCCCCGTCCAGGGATCGAACCCACAACCTGGGTATGTGCCCTGACCAGGAATCGAACCCACAACCTTCTGTTGGATGGGACTACACTCCCACCAACTGAGCCACCGCCCAGGGCTGATGTCTCTTTTTCTATCTATAGCAGTGGTTCTCAACCTTCCTAATGCCGCGACCCTTTAATACAGTTCCTCATGTTGTGGTGACCCCCAACCATAAAATTATTTTCGTTGCTACTTCATAACTGTAATTTTGCTACTGTTTTGAATCGTAATGTAAATATCTGATATGCAGGATGTATTTTCATTGTTACAAATTGAACATAATTAAAGCATAGTGATTAATCACAAAAACAATATGTTAGTTATAAATGTGTTTTCCGATGGTCTTAGGCGACCCCTGTGAAAGGGTCGTTCGACCCCTAAAGGGGTTGCGACCCACAGGTTGAGAACCGCTGGTCTATAGTCTCGCTGTCTTTCTATGTCTGTGAATCAAGGGCATTTGTAGGGAAGTGAGTTAATCTTTCATTTAGTGCCTCCCTCCAGTGCAACACCGCCCCAGTCTTCCCGGGAAGCCGCCCTGTGTGGTATCTCTCCCCCTTCGCAGGCTTTTGATTTTTTTATGCATCAGGAAGAAAGAGTTGGAGAGTCTAGTGACTGAGCTTCAATTCCCCCTGTCACCTTGTTGGATGACTTGGGAAGAGTCATTTAGCTATTAGCAGGCTATTAGCATAACAGATGTAAAGAACGTTTAAAATATCAGCCATTGCCTTAACCCCCAGGGGTAGGAGGGATTCTTTCGCAAAGTGAATAATGGAGAAGAAGCAGGCAGTTCTTTCCAGGGATCTGTCCGCCTTTGTTTCCAAGATTTTTTTTTTTTAGCTCCTAGTGGAAAACACGGCACACGTGGGCCACATTACCTGTTCTTTGGTGGTTTTCTCTCTTTTTTAAAAACTATATTTTTATTGATTTCAGAGAGGAAGTGAGAGGGAGAGATAGAAACATCAATGATGAGAGAGAAGCACGGATCGGCTGCCTCCTGCAGGCCCCCTACTAGGGATCGAGCCCACAAACTGCGCATGTGCCCTGACCAGGAATCGAACCGTGGTTCACAAGCCGGGGCTCAACCACTGAGCCATGCTGGCTGGGCTCTTTGGTGGTTTCCTAAGGAGGTGGCCACGGGTTTTGGAAAGGGCACATAGCCAGGAGTCAGAGGCCCCAGGTCCGAGGGTGACCCTGTCTCTGATGAGCTGTGTCACCTGTCCGCCCTCTCCGAGCCTTCTCTGAGAATTGGAGCTGTAGCACCTCAGACATCTGTGGGAGTGGCAGTGCCGTGGTGTCTGTGGGACTCGGTCAAGGGCTGGACGAGGTGGGTGGCGGGTTGGAATCGGGTGGCAATGAAGAGTATTGTAGGCCTGCCCTCTGATTGCTGGGTTTTGTTCAAGAGTCTCTGCGATGCAGCCAAGTGAAGTGAAACCAGCGGGCCCCTCAGAATGCAGCAGACGCAAGTGGTAATTACGTGGTCAGGCTGTGGCCATGCGGTCCAGGCCCTGCTAATTTGTTCAAATGCCTTTTGTTTCTTTTTTTTTTTTTTAAAGAATAAGCCTTGCCTGGCCGGCGTGGCTCAGTGGTTGAGCATTGACCTGTGAACCAGGAGGTCACGGTTCAATTCCCAGTCGGGGCACATGCCCGGGTGGCGGGCTCGATCCCCAGTGTGGGGTGTGCAGGAGGCAGCTGATCCACGATTCTCTCTCATCATTGATGTTTCTGTTTCTCTCTCCCTTCCTCTCTGAAATCAATAGAAATCTATGTAAAGAAGAACTCCAAGAGGCTGTTCCATTTCTGGGCCGCACATGGCGGGTCTGGGTTGGAGCCCTGAACGCAAACTCTCCTTCATGGAGAGCAGGTGGTTGGTGTGGAGAGGCCCGCTGGGAGGGGAGAGGAAACTGCTCAGCCCGCTGGGCCCGCAGGGCCGTCCTGGGTCAGGCTCGGAGGGGGAGCCCACAGCCTCTCCTACAAGCGCTCAAGTTAGTGATGGTGAATGGAGGTTCTCCCAGGAAACGAGATGCCACCGCCCGGGAATGGGCCTCGGGGGCAGCCTGTTGCCTTCTTGCCGGCATCTCGCGCTGGTTGTCTGAGGTTCAGGGGTCCAGGTGCTGTGCTGGGTTGGCAGCGAGTGTGGGTGCTGTCAGCTGTGAGGCGGAGCGGACACCCCTGGGCGCTGGCCTTGCCAGAAGCGGCAGCAGCTGTGGCCCAAGGATGCGCGGGTGGCAGCTGCTTCCTGCGGTAGGAGGATGCTGCTGAGTACACGCGTGTCCCGGGAGTGAGTGCACGCGTGTCCCTGTCACAGGAAGCCCACAGAACTGGTTCAGAGGGACCTGCCGTATTGGGTTTTTTGTTTTTTTTTTAATATATTTCAGAGAGGAAGGGAGAGGGAGAGAGAGAGAGAGAGAGAAACATCCATGATGAGAGAGAATCATCCATCGGCTGCCTCCTGCACGCCCCTCACCGGGGGGCGAGCCTGCAGCCCAGGCATGTGCCCTGACTGGGAATCGAACTGTGACCTCCTGGCTCCTAGGTCGATACTCAACCGCTGAGCCACGCCGGACGGGCAGGCTGTCAGAGTGAAGCAGTGAATGTGAGATCCTCCGAGGGCTCCAGCCAGTGGAGCTGTGTGTCGTTCTCACAGTCCCGTCATGTTGCATCTTCAACCAGCACATTTGCTGTGACCCCGGTCGACAAGATGGCTTGCCTCGCAGGATACACTCAGACACATTAGACTCAGACAGTTGCTGGCTCGAGGCCCCAGAGTTAACAATCACATTTATTTCTAACCCTGCAGCTGAGTGTTTATTGATGTCTATCTCGCATGCTAATTGGGAGTCTAAGTAGATGACATATTCATTTGTTATAGAGCTTCCTTGTAAGCCACCCTGCAGCCTTGTCTATTGTCTCCGAGTGTCCCCCCCGGCAAGAAAACTGAAAACTGTGGGGGAAGCCAGAACCCTGACCTCCTGGTTCATAGTTCAACGCTCAACCACTGAGCCACGCCAGCCAGGCATGTTCCCATTTTTTTAAAGGAATTTCTCATACATATGGAGCAGAACTAAGGTTGACCAGGTTTGATGACATATTATAAGTAGTAGTATTTCTATGATGTCTCAGTCACAGAAATAAAGGAAATATTCGGTTTATAAGAGTAGTTGCTGTACAAGTGTCACATTATAACGAAATTAATTTAGATTTAAAAATAAAGCCCTTCTTTGTCCCTGGCCCATGTGGCTCAGTTGGTTGGACTTCGTCCTGTGCACCAAAAGGTTGTGGGCTCGATCCCCGGTAGGGGACCTGGAAGAGGCAGCCTATCTGATTTTCCGCTGTCACATTGATGTTTCCCTCTCTCTTTCTCTCTCTCTCTCTCTCCCCCTCCCCCCTTCCTCTCTCTCTAAAAATCAATAACAATTTTTTTTAATTTTTTTTAAATAAAAAGCCCTTCTTTTGAGGATAGCTGATTTTTATTAGGGCTGAAGAATGCCAGTTTTTAAAATTTAAAAATCATTTGCATATGGCTGTGCAGAGGCTGGAAACGGAATATTATCCCACCCTGGCCCCCTCCAGCCGCACGCACTGCAGTTCCCTGTAGCTCCTCTCACCCACTCCTCCCAACTCTGCACTGACAGCGCCTTCTTCCTCCCGGACTCCAGCTGAATTACAGCCACTTACTAAGGACTCCAGTCTGAGCATAAATTAAGTGCCCGCACCACTCAGCCATCTGTCTTCTCTTTGTTTATTCTTCCTCTTACACTAAAACCTAATAAACTGGAAACCCAGACAAGCGATGCCAGTGGCCCTTTGATTCCCCAGATGCAAGGTTCACGTTCCTTCCGTTCAGAATGTAACTCTGCGACCTTTAACCTTGGTGGGTTCCACGGAAAATTCCCTGACCCGCCCCGTTCAGGCAGCGGCAGCCCGGGGTCCCCTGAACCCCCGAGACTTGCTCCTCGGATGCAATGGCCCGGCCTCTGGTCTGTAGGCCCGACGAGCACACGGGGCTGCGAGGAAGCCAAGCCGATGCCTGAGCCTCTCTCTCTCTCTCTCTCTCTCTCTCTCTCTCTCCTCGCCCCGCAGGGGCTGCTCGGAGCTCTGCCGCATCCCCATGGTGGAGTACAAGCTGGACAGCGAGGGCACCCCCTGCGAGTACAAGACCCCCTTTCGGAGGAACACCACATGGCACCGGGTGCCCACCCCGGCCCTGCAGCCCCTGCCCAGAGCCTCGCCCGCCCCTGGCACGCCCGACCGGCTGCCGTGCCAGCAGCTGCTCCCGCAGGCGCAGGCCGCCATCCCGCGCAGCACCTCCTTCGACCGCAAGCTGCCCGACGGCACCAGGTACCGTGGCGCCACCTCCGAAGGCCGCAGTGTCCCGTCGGGCACAGCCCGGCTGTGGGGGGCCTTCCCATGGGGCTGCGGGGTGCTGAGTTGGCTTGTCCGGACAGGTGGGCAAGACAGGCAGGGGCAGGCCTGGGGTGCAGGGATGCGGGAGCCCCCTGGCCCTGGCCCTGCGATGGAGCAGGTGACACGCTGGTCCTTGCGAGGGACTGAGTGTAAGACAGTCACGGGATGTAACGTGCAGCGTAGGGGACAGAGTCCGCAGTATTGTAGGGACTGTGCACGGTGCCAGGTGCATCCTGGGAACCTCAGGGGATCCCCTTGTAAAGTGGATATGGCCCATCACTGCTGTACACCTGAAACTAATATAATACCGTATGCCAACTGTAGTTGGAAAATAAATAGGAAAAAAATGAGGGTCCCAATCACAGATTCCACCACCAGGGCCCCGCTCACCCCTCCCTTTGCGGTCCTCCAGGTTAGCTCAGACCCTCTAGGTCAGCGGTTCTCAACCTGTGGGTCGAGGCCCCTTTGGGGGTCGAACGACCCTTTCACAGGGGTCGCCTAAGACCATCGGAAAACACATATTTTCGATGGTCTTAGGAACCGAGACACCGCTCCTCTATCCGTCTCCAGGCGGGTCCGCCCATATGCAGATACACCCACATACGAGTACATACGAGTACCCGGCGTATTAAAGGGTCGCGGCATTAGGAAGGTTGAGAACCGCTGCTCTAGGTCCATGAGAGCAGCGCTGAGTAGAAACAAAGCTGCCCCATCAGGGATGAACCCCATCTTCCCCGTGGCGGTGTGTTGGGGGGGCCCACATCGTGAGCTTTTCCTGGCTTTCCTCCTTTTAAGCAAAGTGAGGTGAATTTAAAATTACTTTTGTGGAGTTTAGAGTTTTCTCTCTGCACAGAACCAAATACAGAACCAAAATGTGTCTTGTGTGAGGTCTCACACACCCATCATGGTGATGTGTTCATAACGCCGGCCTCTGGGGTCGCATGGCTGTGCTTCCGTGTGTCACAGGAACACGGTCTGCACGGGACGTTACGTGCTCCGGCCACGTCTCTCCTGTGACGCAGCGCCAGCCGTGAGCACCCGAGGTCTCGCTCTGTGTCCACCACTGACCCTGCCCCACCTGCCACGTGTACTCCTTCCCTGTGACAGTGGGCTCGTTGGGAAAGCGAGCCAGGCCAGGTGCTGGCTGCACAGAGACCTCGGTGCCCGGCTAATGGTTCTGGTCCCCGTTTCAGAAGTTCGCCCAGCAACCAGTCATCCTCCAGCGACCCCGGACCGGGTGGGAGTGGGCCCTGGAGACCGCAAGTGGGCTACGACGGGTATGCCCATCTGGGGAGGGCCCAGAAGGGCCCGGGAGCCGGGGGAGCCTGGGGGAGCCTGTTTCAGGGACTTCGACATACGCAGCCCTCAGGGGGTGTGAAGATGTCAGGTGGGCCCTGCTGAGCCTGTCCAGCCAGAGGCTCCTGGTTTCTATCTAGGCAGCTAGTGCTCATTTGTCTGTACCCCGAGCTTGCCTGCTTTTTCTTTCTTTAATGTATTTTTGATTCCAGAGAGGAAGGGAGAGGGGGAGAGAGAGAGAGAGAGAAACACCAATGATGAGAGAGAATCATGGATCGGCTGCCTCCTGCATGCCTTACACTGGGGATCAAGCCTGCAACCCAGGCATGTGCCCTGACCGGGAATCGAACCCTGACCTCCTGGTTCCTAGGTCGACGCTCACCCCTGAGTCCCGCTGGCCGGGCTGCTCTTTCTTTTAATAAGGTCTTTGTGAGCAGGGGGACATGAGGGAATTGGGGGCTCTCTGGGCAGGGCCCTTGGAAATGTCCCCTCACATTGCAGAGCAGGCAGGGCCCGCCTTCGACACCCTTTGCCTGCCTCCTGGTAGAGAGCAGCGGACGGCTGCCTCCCGAGTGGGCTGAGGACCACTCTTGCAGCGCGGGCTCACCTGGTGCCCAGGTGCCCGCAGGTCGGGTGAGCTCCAGGGCGCCTGGGAACATGGTGATGGCGGCTCAGCTCTGTGCGCTCTCCAGGTGCCAGTCCCCCCTGCTGCTCGAGCACCAGGGCCCGGGCCCTATGGAGTGTGAAGGAGCCAGGGACCGGGAGGACGCCATGGATGGAGGCAGGCACCCAGGTAATAAGGAGCTCCGGTCCCCCCTGCCCCCTTCGCTTATTTCGCACATGGCTGGTGGGTGTCAGCTCGATCTCTGAGGTCATCGGGCCGGGTCAGGCTGGTGGTGCCTATAGAAATGGACCATTACCTTTATTTTTTTTATATACAATTTAAAATATATATTTTTTTATTGATCTCAGAGAGGAAGGGAGAGGGAGAGAGAGATCGAAACATCAATGATGAGAGAGAATCATGGATCAGCTGCCTCCTGCACGCCCCACACTGGGGATCGAGCCCACAACCTGGGCATGTGCCCTGACCGGGAATCGAACCCTGACCTCCTGGTTCATAGGTCGATGCTCAACCACTGAGCCACGCCGGCCAGGCTGGACCATTGCCTTTATGGTGCGTGTTCTGCCACCCCTGGGGCATGTCCGCTGGTAAGACCAGAAAGTCCTAGAGCCACCATCCTGTTTACTTTTACCAGAACGTGCTGGGCTCCCGTGTTCTTGGCTCTTCTGTTAACGCCAGAAATTGGGTGCTCAGCTCTTCTCTCTCCGTGTGACAGAAACCAAATGGCACGGCCCACCCTCCAAAGTCCTGGGCTCCTACAAGGACCGAGGCCTGCAGAAGGACGGGAGCTGCAAAGAGTCCCCCAGCAAGCTGTCCCACGTGAGTCCTCCCCTGCGTGAGTCCTCCCCCTGCGTGAGTCCTCCCCCACCTGAGTCCTCCTCCGCACACGGGTCGCGTGCAGCCTCGCAGACGCCTCTGCGCACGTCACATTAGCTTGTTGCTAGGGCTTCTCCACGGTGTGCCCTTGACCCCGCAGGCCTCTCAGAGCCGAAGTGAAAAAATAAATAAAAGTCAAGGTTTTTTTCTCTCCTTGATTCATGAAGAACCTCGAAGAAAGGTCACAGTCGTTACGGGCAAGGCCACGAGGGCACCGTCAGCCTCTGACCCTGCGACCCAGCGCTGATAGTCACTAAATCGTGTTCCTCTCGTGACCTGTGAGGTGTCTCCACTGTGGGCACCGGACTGACGGGGTCTGTGCAGCGTGTGTGGTCGGGCGCCCTGCCGCCGCCGGTCACCGGTCGGTCAGTGGGACCGGCCCCGATGGGTCAGGATGACATTGGGTTTCATTCACTGTCCGCCCGGCCCTGAGGCGGAGCTTACAGGTGACTAGCTCCGGGAACACTTCCAGTTAAATTCGAAAACGTGAATTGTTGGTTGTTGCCAAGAAAGGCCGCCTTAAAGTAGCTTTTTTTTAAATCCTCACTGGGGGATATTTTCCCATTGATTTTTAGAGAGAGTGGAAGAGAGAGGGAACGACAGAGAGAAACATCGATGTGAGAGAAACACATCAATGGGTTGCCTCTTGTACCCCGACCAGAGCCCGGGCCGGGAAGGAGCCTACAACCGAGGTACATGCCCTTGACCGGAATCGAACCTGGGACCCTTTGCTCTGCAGGCCGACACTCTGTCCACTGAGCCAAACAGGCTAGGGCTGAAGTAGCTTATTTTTTAAAGCTGGAAGGTGTAGAAATTTGATCAGCTCCTGGCTTGAGTTGTCTTTCCTCCTCCCTCCCTGTCATTGGCGAGCTCTGCTGCTGAGTGTTAGCACATGGGACCGTCCTCCCTCGGCCGAGCCTGACCTTGGCTGACCTTGTCTGGGCAGCTCTGCGGTAGCCGCTCGATCCCACCTCCAGGTCTGAGCGGTCTCAGCAGAGGGAGGCGGGTGGCGTAGTCATGAGGGCACCGCTGTGTGACAGAAACATCGGATGCGCTGAGGGATCGATGGCTGTGAGTGACAGACCACGATGCAGGGTCAGCCCTTGCCCGGTGCCCAGGTCTTGCTTGTGTTCCCAGCTGTGCAAGGGGCCTGCGTGGCCACACCAGACAGACAGGGACATTACTCTGTTCTGTCTCCCAGGGACCCCACAGCTTCCCCCACAGAGCACTGCCCCGTTAGCTCGCTCGGGCCTCCACGTGCCTGTGACTAACAGCATCCCTTACACTCTAGACCAGCGGTCACCAACCGGTGGTCCACAGACCACTGGTGGTCCGCGAGGTCCGAAAGGTTAGTGACCACTGCTCTAGACGGTCTCCGGGGGCCCCCAGTTAACCCTGTGATCCCCGA